GAGCTGGGGTTATTTAGTCTGGAGAAGAGGAGGCTGAGGGGAGACCTGATCGCCCTCTACAACTGCCTGACAGGAGGGGGGAGCCAGGTGGGTTCTCCCTAGTAACAGATGATAGGACGAGGGGGAATGGTTTGGAGTTGCGCCAGGGCAGGTTTAGGCTAGACATGAGGAAAGACCTCTTCACCGAAGGGTTTGTCAGGCTCTGGAATGAGCTGCCCAGGGAGGTGGTCGAGTCCCCATCCCTGGAGGTATTTAAAAGAAGGCTAGATGAGGTGCTTAGGGACATGGTTTAGTGGTGGGATGGCAGGGTTAGGTTAGAGGTTGGACTCGATGATCTCAAAGGTCTTTTCCGAACAAAGCGATTCTATGATTCTAGGAGCGCTGCGTGTAGCCTGAAGGTGGGATGAACTGATGCGCTGGGAGGAAAGTGAAGTGCCTGTTTTAAATTATTTCCTACTGAATCCAACTTCAGTTGCCACCCAAATTCTTACACCCCACCAACAGTTTTTGTTCTTCTGATAGAGCTACAAAGCAAGTTCAAGATTTTTTGTAAAGATGCTTTCCTTCGGTGATTTGTCAGACAATTCAGCTTTCCACAGTGCTAGAATACCGTAGCTTAAGTAGCCTAAAAATGACATTAATGACTCTCATGCAATTATACTGTTATGATGCCTGTTATGTGTCTTTTTGAGCACCTTGCATTACAGGAGTAGTTGAAGCACCAGAAGAGGTTGCCCAAAGCAGCTGTGGGAATTTCATCCCTGAAGATCTTCAGAACTTGACAAGGCACTGAGCAACCTAACTTTGAAATGAGCCCTGCTCTGAGAAACAGATTAAGATTATAGAGCCCAGAGGTCCTTGCCAACCTAAATTATATGTAAGATTAGGTAAATTGTCAGTGTTGTGATATCCTGACTTTGTGTCAAGTAAAGCTTTACGCCTCATGTATTTTTTCAACTTGAAATATATTTAGACCAGAATAATAGGGGTTAATAATAGACATTCAGTCGACAGATGAAGTGGCAGCTTCTCCAGACTCACTTTTGAGCCCTTGGAAGAATACTGTAGAGTGTGTAACAGACCAAAATCTCCCTGTTGTGCGTACCACTCCCTGCTAGTCCCTTTGGCTCATATTCTGCAAATACATATGCCAATATTTGACTACTCAGCTTTGAATAGCTCCACTCAAAGACATCTTTTATAGATGCCTGAATATTCTAATAATATAAAAACCAAAGTGCAACAGCTGAAAATATTAGAAGACCTATTTATTATATCATTGGCATCATCTTCGCTGCAAGTCTTTCAGTTTTTCGCTATCTTGGTTGTTTTTAAGCATTTAAGCTGTGTTGTAGTGAAAACCTAGTATTGATAAGATAACTAGACTTTTTACATAATAAATTAACTATCAATTAATCATTCCTGTATCAGAATAGATAAGAAATACAAATGAAATACTAAGGCTATCACTGAAAAATCGAGTTACTAAGGCTTTCGTTAAAGCTTTCTATAAAAATTGTGTAATTAGCAGAAACGGTGGTTCTACTCACTCACTCCAATAATACACCAGACCACATCCAGCTATAAACAGAAGCCAAATTCTATCAGTACCTGCATTCTACTTAGTTCAATGCTGAAGTATTTTACGTAGGCCCAGGAATGTTACCCCAGTCATTAATACCAGTCAAGAAATGCTGGAGCTGAACCACACTGTACATCTTCTACCAAGAAGTTCCGAGATTTCCTCAAGCTTTCTATTTCAATTTACTCACTGTACCAATGTAAGATTTGCCTACTATATGCAGCAGTGTTTCACCACACATTTGGTGTTTTCTGTCATAACTATATTTTTCTGCACATACAACACATTAAACACATGACAAGATGCTTTACCTCCTTTAAACATTTCACTGATTAAGAGGAAACAAATTCAGACACAACGTTAAACACCACTATCTGACACAAAATATTCATTTTAGCACTATAGCCTTTTCTTACAAATGTTATAAAGCAAACCATGAAAAGATTCAAACAGAAAGCCAAATCAAAGGTTCCATAAATCAAATGTTCAAGAAGGTTAAATTTAAAAAACCCATACATTTTACTGATAAAGACTGTTCGCTATGTTAGCATTATTAAAAAAAAAAAAACCTTATTAAATTATGTGTAATTTAAATTTACAAAGCATAACAACTCTGTCAGTGATGTTATCACTGAAAAACATGAGTCCAAGCCAATCTAAATTCTCTCAGGGCTCATATTGTTGTAGCAATACCTCACTGTTAATAAGGCTGTTCTTCAACATTCTGCAACAAAATCCAAAACTCTTGAGAGGCGTTATTGATGCTTTTTGGTTTTTTCTTGCCTCTATGAAATGGAGATAAAAAAAGAAAATGTCAAGGCAAATGTTGACACAAAACACTGCACAACTTTAGAAAACATTTTGGTAGAAAAATGCTTGCCACTAAACTCTCCCACACATACCCAAAGCACAGCAGAAACGCTATCTGCCCCAACCATAGATAGCACCTCCACGTAAGGAGCGCACTTACTGAACACAGCGAAAACTGCCAGAGAGGTTTCCACAAACCATCACCAGAGAAGAGACTGAACAGAGAAAATCCCAACTTCCTAATAAACTTAGAGATTAATTTAGAGTCCTTAACTGAAACTCTTATCCTTTTTGTATCCGGTCAGGTGGCACTGGAAGGTTCAAAAGCTCTCTAATATTTCCCCAGTTTAGTTCCCTCTCTCCAAGCACAAGCCCCAACTGAATTACATCAGAGACCACCCTAATGCTTAGCGTGCACTGCACTGAGCTGACACAAAGCACAGTCCCATGGGTTGCAAATTCTGGTAGCCTGTCCTTTTTTTGCAAGTCAGTTCAGGGTCAAAAGCTGAAAACTGAGCTGAGAGCATATATGATTAGTAGAAAATTAAATTATGATTACTTGCAACTGTAACCTGTAGTATTTCTTGGAAAGATCAACACTTGTCCGTCCTTTCTGAAATGGATAAGACCACAAAATCAAATTCCAGTGATTACCCATTTTTTTTACTCCACTCAAAAGACAGTTAATTTCTTCAGTCGTGAAATCTTTTCGGGTTCTTCTCTTCCTTAAAGTTGTTGCATTTATGTCCAAGGAACATATTTCATTGTTCTGCAAATATTTATTGTGGTGTAATTAAAAATTATGTACATTCACATACTATTTCAGATTTGGAAGTAGCGCATTATTACTGACAATATGATCTTAAGTAGTTCTAAAGTAATGATCGCTTTGTCAAGATTTCTTCACTGTCACCCACTTACTGAAATATATATTTTTTTTCCATGACCTTTACCTTTGTTTCTGTCATGCCTACAGAGTTTATACCTTTAGTATGTTTATTCCTTTGGGTTTCTGTTATTTTTATACTATGCAAATGTTCATTAATGCAGGAAAAAGCATACTCCCATATCCATTATTCAGAAAAGACTGTCAGTTGAAAAATGCTTAACTCATTTCAGGGATAAATCAGTATGACTGGAGTAGAATCAACAGAGAGGAATATCTTTTTAATAAGGTTCACTTTGCTACTGGGCTCCTGTTGAAGTTGACTTAAAAAGAAATTATGCAATTCATAGTGATTTTATTTATACATTTATAAATGCATGAGTGTATGATTAGGCTTTGCATAACTAACCTCATCTGTGTCGAGTGAATATATGCAATTTTCTTTTAAGTGCTGACATTGCTGGTTGCACGTTCCTCTGACTCTTTTTCTCTTCAAGTTAGCATCTTGGTTTTTTTGGAAAGCTACAAAATTGTGAACAAGGCCACCTCTTAGTTGCCTTATCTGAAATCTACTGTAAAACTGAATGTAGCATTGTAAAGGAACATTTATTCCAATGAACTTGAATATGTAAATGTTGCTTTATTACTAATATCTCATTTTCATTAGATCTTTTTCTCATCATTGACATTAACACGAGGATTATTTAAGCAAATATGGAAGCAACTAGCAAATAACAGGAATTAACTCAAACATCAGTAATGCTGCGATTGAAGGTGCCAGAAGATACCTATTTACATTCTTAGCCACTGTGTCCAACAGCAAGCACAGGGGCTTTGCTCAGTGCCCCGACCTAAGTGCAAAACTTGATCTTTAAGTTAGGCTTATTATAGAATTAACTTTCCAGTAACACTCACACTTTTTGTACATAGGTATCAAGTTATAGCTGTCAGTCAACGTAGTGTTTTTACTGGGTTCATCTCTACTTGAAGTATCAGATTTGGTTTTTGTAACTGGAGTCAAAAGAATACCTTAAAAAAACCCAAACAATAAAACATTATGCATCTTTCTTTAAAAAAACCACAAAACACAGCTAATGCTTTAGGAATTAAAATTTAAGACAGAACCATCTTTGGATCCATACTACTACCTGGTCTGGGAAGAAAGACTGGAAAATTAAGTTTACTTCAGAAAATGTTTACTTGCTAAAGGCAATATGTTAGTGTAATGGGCTCTTGAGATGAAATAAATTTGTGTTTGTTAATGACTATCATAGCCAAATTAATTTCTGAATCTGAAGGTGGAAAAAAAATTTCAAAAATAATTACAAAAAAACCCCCAATCTCCTAGCTTTTACCAGAAATTAATTAAATAAAATAACAATGTAAACAAGGTTTTTGGAAATAGGACATTAAAAATAATTCCCAGTGGGTGGGCTGATTTTTGGAAAGAGAATGTATTTTGAAGTAATATTAATGTTTTAGAATTTAAGTACTGATTTAGAGAGCTGCTTCAGCCTACTTTAAAATTTCTGGTCATCAATCATAAGAAACAGTATTGGTTAGTAGTTGCTGAAGGTAGTAATGTATGACTGTAGTTGGAGCTCTGCGGGATGTACCCACAAACACCACATTCCAAAGAAAATTCCCTGTGAATTAGGTAAAATATACATACCTGCAGAGTAAGAAAAAACTATAACCATTAACTTTTTACTACATTACAGATTAAAATACTGTAAAAGATATGTACTCTGCTACTTACAAATGGACACTTGTTGTATATTATAAAGAATACCAGTGTTTATGGGCAACTGATGGTTCTGTAAACAAAGGGTTCCTAAACTGCACTGCAGAAACTGATGGAACTTACATTCACTTTTCCATCTCTACCTTGTTAGTAACAACTTATTCAACATTTCATCATACAGGGCAGGTAGATAGATCTCCTGTACTTAATTTTCTGATAGGTTGTTTTCATTTGCTTGCTCTAGTATTGTTGTATACGTTAAGGTTTACCCTTCTAGCTATTTAGCACACAGAGACCCAAGTCCTTAGCAGAGCTCCAAGCAGGAACAGAAACAGGTATAACAAGATAATATGGCTCTAACTATATAACAGTTGCTGAATCCAAGAACAGGCAACTGTACTGTGTTCTGATCCTGACTGTAGCTCTCAATTTTAAAAATTAATGCCACAAAACCGAAAAATAGCAGATGGCATGGAAGTAACCCTGACAGGATTCAAAGCAGTATCTACATAGCAAGTGCCAGATAACTTCGCTGTGAAAAAATGTGCATATCACAATTTCATGATTATAGAATATGCATTTTCTGGCCTATTAATATACAGATTTTTCACAGAATCCACAAGAAAAAAAAAACCATAAGTCCCTATCCACAGCCTCCCAATGGTAAAGTCCTGCAAAAAAATTACTTAGACAGTAAGGGATTTTTGCATTCATTTCCAAACCAAGCCCTTACTTTGGAAACTATCCTTTTTGCTCCTAAAAGTTGGTATTTCTGTATGCAGTCTTTTTTTCTTCACTGGGGTCAGCAGTATTTCTGGAAAATATAAGATAGACACCAGTACAAATGCCAGTAAGTAATAACTGTTTAATTTTCAAAATGCCTCCTTTAAACCAGAAAAATACAGGATGCACTTTTATTTAATTAATTAAGAATTATAAGCCTGTTACATCTGTTAAGTATGTAATACTAGAATAAAATAACCTTGTTATGATGTCATACATCCATTTACGCTTATTTCAACTTAATATAGTCCCTTCTCTTAGTACTTGACGAACTTTGGCAAACAGGACAGAGTCTCATCAAAGCCTATGAGGATATATCACTACTGCCAAGAAATACACAAGATCCTCAAACAAAAGTGGCTAGTTCTGATCTCACTTAGTACAAATCATTGGCAAATCAAATTAAATGAATGAGTTTACAAGAGAAGGACAATCAGAATCAGACCAAAAAACGTTCAGAATTTTAAATATGATTTAAAACAATAGTTACAACTACTAAAAAAAGAAATAATAATTACTCTCATAAGTTGCATATCTACTGTTGTTGCAAACAGCCCATTTGCGAAGTTCCTTTCTGTATCGTTCTTCAGCTTCCAGAATGAATTTGTGATGGTCACACTGGTATGGACAACTTTGCAACATCTTGGTAAAGGTTTTACTATTGAAGGACAGTCCTCCTGCTGTACAACCTGGAAAAAAAAAAGGCTATTTTAGAAACAGCAAGCATGAATGCTATTGAAGCCATCACAAAGTCCAGTTTTCCACCTACACATCTTAAAAAAGGTTACACTTCTATGTATCTTCTTGAAAATACTTAATTCTTTGTTTGTACTTGCTCTCTAAAAAAAAAAAATAAAATAAAAAATTACACTGCATTTCAACTCCAGAAGTACAAAATGAGGCACGGATCCCCTACAGAAGTAAAAATATTAGTGGGATGCAAAGTTCCCTTTGCACATTTATCCAGGAACCAAAATCTAAAAGATGTCTTTGCTATACTTTGAAACTTTCTCTGTGTTGTAACAGTATCTGTATTTACCTGAATAAATGTAAGTCTAGCTTAGGTATGAATTTCCTCACAGGAAGCCTTCCTGTTTGTTTCTGAGGACATTCCTAGGGTAATTTATGGTTTAGTTATTCTTGGATGTTCTCACAGCTAATTACGTCAGCTGAAGGAGACTGTGAGGAATTGTAAGAAGGGCACTGGTACATATCTGCAATATTCTAGCCTAAAATAAGGCAGTGCTAAAGCTCAGGCTGAATTTAGTTTGACAACCTGGGCTCATATGCCTAAATGATGTTCAGAAGTAGGTTATGGGGTTGGGGTTTTTTTTTGGCTTTTGGTCTTTTTGTTTTAGTTTTTTTAATAGACACAGGGTTGATTGCAAAATCCACTTACAAACCCTGAGTACCAGCAGCATTCTTATAACCTACTGATAAGCCGTGTTTATGAAGTAGAAGATGGGGTAACTGAGGGCTGCAGTCATGGATGGCTATCAGACTGCCTGCCTGTACTCAATAGCAGTAAGGCAGAGGAAGCAGAAAGGCTGCAAAATAGTTCAGAGGCTTAGCAGGGCAATACATGAGGGAACTGAGCAGGGGTACATTTTTTCCCTCCCTCTTTCCGATCTGAAAAGGAGGAAAATACTGGCTTAAGTATTCTTTTAAGCAGTGTGTCATCTTTTAAGCTGTTGTATATTCTGTTAGTAAACCCACATTAAGAAAAGATGCATAGACCAAAACTGGACTATGTAAGCTTTATGTCAATATTTATGTTTTATTTTAGGGGCAGAAAAAGGAAGGGAAGCAGTTAAGAATTACATAATAGGTAACTGAACAGATTTGTTCAAATTTCTGTAATGTCAGTTCACTTACTGCATTGCTGACTCTTTAAGGCTTCTTTTATGGACTCAGGAAAGAAAGACCTAAGATAATATTTACCTAGACACTTTAAATTTGCCATTTTATGGGATGCAGATGCAGTTGAGGTACTTTTTTCTTCCTTGGTTAACTCTGAGTAGAATGAATGTTGATCTAAATTCAGAAGGAAAAAATCCCACTAAGAAAATGCAACCTGTCCTTTTGCTGTGGTAATCATGCATCAGCATACCTATATTTGTATTTCTATTTGTAGATTATTCAAGTTTAATTTACATAACAGCAGAAAATCCAAATTAAATTCCTGAAGTTGAACGGATCGCATTTACATTTTTGTAAATTCAGAATAATGACATTTCATTCAGTGCTTTTTCATCACTCAAAGCATACTACTTCAACTTGAACACAGCAAAATAACCCTGTAAACTTACATGGCTTAACTAAGCCCTATAAATTTTATCTGTATTTGGAATCAGATGCTGAAAAATGTGATGTACTGGAATAACTTTTATTCTCCATTTAATTAGGATGGAGATCAGCTTGGTCACCTGTAAAGCTACCATTCTGGCAAACACTAATCTAATGAATAATTATAAATTTTATAAATTAACAGGAAAGTAAATTGTGAATAAAGATTTGATTGAACAGATCCCAGTTCTGAAATAAATACGTCAGACAAAACCAGCATCCTTACGCATTTTCTGTTAATGGTTTTCATTGTTCAGTATGGATTGTATTCAGATTAAACTTAAAATATTTATCTGCGATACATTCATTTGAATAGTTAAAATCAATTTTAAAAAGAAAGCTAAAATATGTATTAGAAAAAAAGTAGAATAAATATTCTCCTGGTAAAATTGTATACAATATAAAATTTCCAAACTATGCAAACAGTTAAAGGATATTATACGTAATCTACTCTGTCATGTAATGATATATAACATCTGATAAAAGTAGTGATAGAAGTACACAAAACTAATTAAAATCTCATTAAGACCAAAATTATTTAAGAAAGAAATATGTTTAGCTATTTGTACCTGATGTGTGTGTTTGTTTCATATTTTTAACAATCTCTGCTGGTTGTTTAAATAAGTGTTCACTGGGAAGATCAAAATGTGAACAAATTAAAAAAAATACACAAACTTCACAACATACATTTACCTGTAAATTAATACATACATTCCAAAGGCAAAACAAAAACCACATTAAGTATATAAAAGATGAAACTCTAAAAAATTGATTCTAATTATCCCAAGTTACTGGGTTTGTAGTATCTAGCATATAACCACTGTATGCTAGAAGTCTGTTTACCAGAGATCTGTGATTCACATTCCTTGCAGTGCTGTTCACAGTATGTCTGTTCCAGCATTTGGGATACAGTTGCTTTCAAGGGATGCTGGTTTCCAGAGTCATTTGTAATTCTGGTTCACATAAAGATTACTTAGTGCACATAAAACTATCACAAAGTCTTCAAAATACTGTAGCCTTCACCAGATGTAGCCATTGCTCTAAAAGGTAACTGATTTTCTTCTTTTCTTCCACTGATTAACTTTTATGCAACCAACATGCTCCCGATATGGTGATCATGCATTTTTCTATGTCATTGACTACTTCTGAATGCTGCAGGAGCAAGGAGCCTAATCCATGGTTATGTTTGGTTAACACCTGTTTTCACACAAATACATATGCAAGGAGAGAGCTTTCCGCCCCCCAAAAAAGATTAATTTCTTAATAGTTTTGTGCTTCAGAGATCTGAACAACAAAAAAAGAAGCTGTGTGAAATTATGCTAATCAGTAGCAAAGCAAAATTTACCTGAATGTACCATGGAAAATATCCTAGGCTCTTGATAATTTCTGCGGTAGTTGCAGAGTTACAATATAACGCGTGCAAGGAAACTGCATAAGAGCAGGGTCCAGCCAGCCACAATAAAAATGTGGAACTCAAACAAAGGAGAAATGTAGTTTTGTTCATACTCTCTCATTGCCTGTCTTGAGGGATGTTCCAGATATAAATTCAAGATAATGGAATTGATATTTATCCTATAACTAATTTTTTGTTTATCAGTAGGGAAGATAACCATGAGGAGCAAAAGAAAAAGAGGAAAATAAGCATCTGTTTGAGAGCAACGAGCAAGAGAAGAGTGAATAACTGAACAAGGCTGTATCGTTATCTTCCCATGCAGGGAAGCAACTGAGCATGAGGGGAGAAAAACAGGGGGGAGCGGCTTTCCCTAGTTTATAGGCACTCCAATTTCAACTTTTTTTGCAGAGCAGTTCTGTAACGGCTGCTTTCCCCATAAGCGCATATTACACAAGTCTTTGTGGTTTCATCCAAACCAATGGGTCAAATCTTGATCTACTGAATCAGTGAGAATTTTGAGGCAAAAACTGTGGATGCTTTTTCATCACTATGTTGAAGGTATTAGAACATGGCCTGTTACAGGCTCTCTATACAATCCGTCAGAAGCCCACCATTCAGAGAAAAAGATCAGAAGCTTTTGTTACTACAGTGTCTATAATCTTTGATCTGTGATGTCAAAAACACTCCCACAGAATATTCTCTAGTGAGCCACCAAAAGACTATGTCCTTTCACAAGGAGAAAAAGACATCATTAGTAACAGACAACTTAAAAGGCTGACATTCAATTTGGAAATTACTGAAGAGAAGCTACTTTGTACTCCTGCTTAGGTGTAAGATGCTTACCTTACTTCAGGAATAGATTGATTTTTTACACAAGCAGTTTTTTCATTTTTACTGTGACTTTGAAGTACACTGTCTGTTTGCAGTTCATTAACTGAACATGGAATATTACTCTGTTCACTTTGTCTAGCAGAAGCATTTACTGGATCTATAGTGTTCACTATTTCATTTTTCAGTGGAGAAGAATCTACAGATGGAGCAAGAACCTGATCATCCAACTTAGAGGTCAACTGCAGACAATGTACTACTTTATGTGTTCTTTCTATGTAAGTTTTTGGATCAGCAGGATTTACTTCATGATATTTTGATGCTTCAGTGTTGG